AATGTGTGCACTATAATTGGCTCCTGAGCAAATTTAACATTTCTGTTTTTGGTAAATTTAGAGAATAACTTTTTTGTTACCTATGAGATTGACATTATATACGTATTGGGTCTGGTTTTGGCAGAGATTCAAGGTTTTCTTGTAGTCAAAAAAATTATTTTCTCTACATTTTGAAGGCAAAATAAAAGTAGTGCACTCCTTTTAATAGGTAAAAAAGAAAGGTTACAGTAAAAGAGTAAATCACCAGTTAAAATATTTAGACAAATATATACAAAATTTGGAGATACTACAGAAACAATTCTATATTATCAGAAAATTTGTAACAGTAGAAATAGGATTTTACAGTGTGTAAACAATCCTATTTTCTCTTTCATCGAAGGACAAACTAAGTCTTTAACCTTCGAGATGTCAAGGTACCAAGGGCATCTCATGGGGCCCCCTACTGACCCCGGGCCCTCGGACAGTGCCCGAGTTTCCAAATGGTCAGTCCGCCCCTGCTTCTGGGTGAGAATAGAGATACAGAACAAAAGATGTGGGGGCTACATTTTAGACAACCTACACAAAGATCTTAAGCAGAGAATGAGAAGCCAACAGCATGTGAAACCAAATAAAAAGATTATTTAGTTATTTCAGGTACTTATATAGCGCTTTACACATCTATTGTACATTCACATCAGTCCCTGACCCTCAAGGAGCGTACAATCTAAAGTCCCTAACTCACATTCATACAGTCAGGTCCATACATATTGGGACATTGACACAATTCTAACATTTTTGGCTCTATACACGACCACAATGGATTTGAAATGAAACGAACAAGATGTGCTTTAACTGCAGACTGTCAACCTTTTTCCCGGAGCTCCGGGACTTGCGGTCTACCCCGCACCCGAAGCCGCGGCCGAACTGGATCGCAGGGCATCGGCCCGGGGCGCCGCCGCTCCGTCCCCCGATCCCTGCCGACCTGCCAGCCTCCCCAGGGCCCTCCTCACTAGCCCTGGGTCCATCCCTGACCACCAGGAACCAGCTCAGGCCCACTGATCGCTGCTCCGCTGCCCAGCAAGCCAAAGTCCTTGGCGTCATTCTGGACTCAAACCTTTCCTTCCAACCTCATGTCAAATCACTTACAAACACATGCAGGCTCCACCTTCGCAACATCGCCAAGATACGCACCTTCCTTACCCCAGACACCACTAAACTACTCGTACACTCCCTGATTATCTCACGCCTTGACTACTGCAACTCCCTCCTCACCGTCCTACCCCAGTGCAAGCTCTCCCCACTTCAGACCATCCTGAACTCAGTGGCCAGACTCATCCACCTCACCAGCCGCTCCACCTCTGCCACCCCCCTCTGCCTATCCCTCCACTGGCTCCCTATTGCCCAACGCATCAAATTCAAACTATTCACTCTGACCTACAAAGCCATTCACAACACTGCCCCTAACTACCTCACCAACCTGATTCCCAGGTACCACCCTACCCGTACCCTTCGCTCTTCACAGGACCTCCTTCTATCTTGCTCCCTGGTCTCCTCCTCCAACGCACGACTGCAAGACTTCTCCAGGTCCTCCCCCATCCTCTGGAACTCACTACCTCAATCCATCAGACTGTCACCTTCCCTTCTCACCTTCAGGCGGTCCCTGAAAACCCACTTCTTCAGGGAAGCCTACCCCACCCTCACCTAACAGCCATTCTCCTTCATTCCTCCTACCACTCCATCCCCCACAGCCACTTCCTCCTGTACCACTACCCCCTCCCTCCTAGATTGTAAGCTCAAAAGAGTAGGGCCCTCTAACCCCTCGTGTGCTGTTTGTTGTTGCTGTACTGTTTCATGTATTGTCCCCCCCTCTATTGTACAGCACTGAGCAAACCCTTTGGTGCTATATAAACTCGATGTAATAATAATAATAATGTTGCCTGACAGAACACTTGCTGACTATTCCCAATATAAGGAGGCTGCCTAAATATCCCCACAAGAGTGTAGCAGGGCTAGAAGTAGGGCCAGCACCTTGGTGAATAACCAAGATGCAGGCAAGAGGCCCAATGGCACATCCACAATCTGGTGGTGCAGTTGCCCTTTGAAAAACATACAAATCGCTTATGCGCTGGAAGAATAGTAGGCACCCATCCCATCTCTGATGTCTACAGAAGACAGAAAGTCTCCTGGGTGAAGGGAGAAGATGAAAGATTTCTAATGTGAAAAATTGGGCAATTACACCTTTGTGCAGAAGACCAGAAAGGGCTCAGTGAAGATCAGCTACTCTGTGCAGTGGCACAGGAAGGGTGGAAGTTAGAAACCAAGGAAGGGGCAGGGAGAGAAACTCCATTTTGTAGTCCAGGGATAACACCTTCTGCACCCAAGCACCTGGGGTGTAAGCTGCCCAAGCTTCTGCAAAGGTTAACAATGTCCCCTCATTCTGGTAAGTCAGGGGGCTGGCTTAATGCAGAGGAAAAGGTATCTGAGGATTTGGCAGCCTTTAAGTGCCAGGACTTGCAAGGGGATGAGGAGCCAAGCCAGGGGCCTCGATGTGGAGGACAGAATAAAAAAAAAGAAAGGGATGTTAACAGATAGAGAGGGAGAAGATTTTGCAATCTGTTTTTTAGGTTTCTTCCGATTAGGAAGATGGTTGCTTTTGCCACCAGGAGGATGTTTGATGCTGGCATGAGCTAGTCCAAAAAAACAATGTCCCTCGAAGACCATGAGGACCAAAAGCTTTTTACCAAGGGTTCCGCAGTTCAGCCAGTATCATACACAAATGCATTGACATGAGACACATGCTGGAAATGAGATGGGAGGATTTTAGCAAACTGTCACAGATGAAATTTTACAATGCAGCTATCTGCTCCATGATTTCAGTAAGCAAGTAAGACCTAGTTTGACAAAGTAAGGTCATAGCTAGAACCGGATGAATGTCAGGGCCCACTAGTACCAACAGAATTCTAGAAAAAGGGCTTCCAACAACTCATCAGTTGGATCCTTAAAGACAGATGCATACTCCACTGAAACAGCAAGTTTCTTATTATTATTATTATACAGGATTTATATAGCGCCAACAGTTTGCTCAGCACTTTACAATTAAGAAGAGAAACTGCCAGGTCCAAAGTGGGAACAGACCACCTCTTCACAAAGCCCTCAATAAAGAGATTCAACACTTATAAGCACTTGGGGAAAGCGGATGGACAGCTTGCTAGAATTTTTCCGATCTTGACAGAAATATAGATAGAAAAGTGGGTGCAAAGGGAAATATTTTGCGGCCTTAGGTGTCTTAAGAGCAGAGGATTACATGATTCCAGGCTGCAGATGTTGAAACTCTCAGTAACCAACCTGATTAGTGTGCGAACTGGGGGCACATGGTACAGCAGGAGTGTTCTTTCGGTGTCTAGAATCCGACATGTTGCAACCGCATAGTAGTAAGGCAACCTATGGGCTTAGGGTAAGAGGCAAGGCCTTATGTAATTAAAAACCATGCAAGTAAGTGAGGGTCAGATGGCTGCAGCTGACCAAAGTGACTGTAGGTGGGCATTGAGAATGGATGGAAGATTGGATTTACACATGGCCCTTGCTATGCAGAAGCAGCAGTAGCAGTGAGAATGGTTCCGCTTAGAAGATTACATTTGTGCTCAGTCCCATAGCACTAACCTCTTCTGTAGTAAAACTGGAACAGAAAATAAAGGTGCCCAGGCAGCACCTAAGTAAGGGTAGTTCCCAGTACTGAGCTGGACTGGCCTGCTCATTAAGTGAGCCTTCAGAAGCAAGGTAAACACTGAGGCAATGTCTATAGCTCTGAACCTGGAAAGTTCCCCACAGCTAACGTTTTCTAGTTTGAAAAGTATCCTCTGCAGAACTCTGTGCTTAAGGGTCATTTCCAGTCTACTAGACCGGACGTTTCATAGACAAAGTCCAGACATAGCACTTCAAAATCCAGGCTGGGGACAAATGCACTGGAAAGATGTAATCAAAGAGACAAAGCTCCAGCAGTGATGCAGAGAAGAGTCTTAGCTGAAAACAAACTGAAGAAAAAAAGTTGCTTGCAATAAATAAGTTAGCATTTAACAAAGCAGAGCTGCAGAAAAGATGTCCATCCTTACAGGACACTAACAAAAAATGAATACATGCCAGTAGTGGGTAACCCGGGCTGGCCTACAGTTCTTTTTGTTTGCCAGTGTCCAATCCTCATGTAGGCAGCAGTATAATGCAAAGGTTAAACAATTCTTCCTCAATGGGTGAGAAAGAAATGTTTTAGATTCTGATAGTTCTACAAATATCCAAATTAGAGCCTTTGTTAACTGTAGCACAACAGATGTTGTAAATCAGTTTGATTGTCCTTGTAGATTATTGTACAATGGCAAAACCAAAACTTTCAAAAATAAAAAGCAGAACCCATTCACGTAACTGTATATATGTACAGTGGTACAGAATTACTAAAGGAGCAGAGACTGTTCACATAGCAAAGTAAACAATAATGAATAAGGTGAGGCACTATTGACCGCAGTGAGGACACAGGAGATTGACCCTCCTGGAGGAGTCAGTTTCTGTAGAGACTTTGGGTGGATGATTTCTTTTTAATAGATCACTGGTTGGCAGTGAAAACAGCAGGAAAGAAAAGAAGAAGTATCACCCTTGCAGGCATACCTTTTGTTTGGATATTTATTTTCGAGACAGGGTCGCTTTAACCAAATGCTTCAGTGAGGCATCTATATATATGTTTAAGGAATTTTGGGATAGAGGTGTTCATGTCCATCAAGCAGGTATTCAATTTCTCATTCATGAGACAATGGTCTATAGACAACCTGGGAATATACAGAAGTTTTCAGTATGAGTCTACCCTGTCTGAGGCTCCAGACCTGCTGTGCTATCATTATCGCATATAGTTCCGCCACTGGGCAGACCTATGAATACACAAACGGGGAATCACTGATATAATGGAAACCTAATATGTAATCTGCCACTGAAAGAATCATTGTGTTTTTTAACCCTTCATAAAAATAATTATTTCTCACCACCCTCAGAGTCCGAGTCCCGATCAGCTGTCCCCATGCTGTTCACAATATTCATTAGGTGAATGGCAGTCCAAGCAAAGGGCATGCGATACCGGCCCAGCCGGGAGCAAAACTGATCAGCTTGGGCCCTCAGTTTGTCCACTTTTTCCTTGTTCTGTGGACACAAAAGAAAACAATATGCATTATTGAGAAGCTCAGCTTTCGCAGCAACTCCCTTCACAGCAGTGACTCAGTTACAAAGCAGTGAAAAAGCAGCTCAGCTGCTCCTGATGCTCCTTCTAGTAGTAAACCAGCAGTATTGGAATCTCCCCCTACCAATGCAGACTCAGCAGATCTGGCAACCTTTCTCCTTCTACCAGCAGTGACCCTTCAGTCTTCTGATATCCAACATAAACACAGAGCATATGCTCTGGAAGAAGGAGCAGGGGGATTTTAGCTGATGAATGAATGACTTCTGCTGTGACTGTGAGGATTAATTACTCCATAGTGCCTGCATCTACAGAGGTCAGTAAGGGCTCATTTGCTGCTTGTTAAGGATATATGTACATATTTGATTGTCCACATCCTGGCTACAGGTTCACTTTAACGCAGAACTTAAAAGGGGAAGTTCTGCATTATGCCCTCCTCACCCCTCATTTTCTTCTTTTGGAACTTTTTTTTTGAGGGAGGGGGCATTCCAACAGAGGTTCTCCCTCTTCATTCCCAGCCTGCAACCTTCTGGGACATGTCATAGGTCCCAGAGGGCTGCAGAGCCATCCACAAAGCAGTGTGGCTCACACATGCATAGTTAGAAGATGGCTGTGGAGCCGCAAGGAGTCACAGACAGTTTCTCACAGTTAACATGCCAGCACCGGGAACCCGAAGACTGCCAAAGATCCAGCAGGAGTGAGGATGGCGCTGGATCCCTGGACAGGTAAGTGTTCCCCTGTCAAAAGTCCACAGCTACAGTATTTGTAGGTGCTAATTTTTATTTTTTTTTTTCAAATTGGGTGAAGAACCTCTTTAAGCATGACCACATTAAACAAATCTTGCAATGTACAATGACAACTTGCTACATGCATACAATAAGCCATCTGGCTATGAACAATTATTGGGAGAAAAGTATGTGCAAGCGCATTCTGTCTTCGAAGCATATCAATTAATCTTTTATTCTGCCAGACAGGCTCACTTATCAAAAATTTTTATTGAATTGATCTTTTTGCTCTGCTTCACAATATTTTTTTAAATAAAAAAGGCATTGCTACATGATTTTTTTTTTACCAAAGACAGAGAGGCAGAAGACTTTCACGGCTAAGTGAAAAGTCTGCAGAATGTGATGTTTACAGATCACCACATATGAATCAGAACTAAAGGAAATATTTACTTATAGACACCACATTCATGTCAGTAACAGCTGCCACATGTGGGCCCCTTACACTGTACAGCTGCTGGCCCGACTATGCAGATATCTCTCCTTGCACACTTGGTATGTCACTGACATTTAAATAAAGAACTGATGTTCATGGTGTGCCATCCGCTTTCTTACAAAAAAAAAAAAACGCTCTAATTTAGCAAGTGCAAACACCACCCACCAGCACATACGTATGTGGCAAATTTAAATGATACCCATCATGAATCATATGATAGGTATGCTAATCGTCTGGATGTCATGCTAAAGTTTTGACTTTAATACTTTGCAAATCACTGATCCAAAACAAGCACAGAGATAGTGAATTCCTGAATTTGCTCAGACTTTCATTTTCTGCATGCTTGTTCCAGTATTCAAGTTGGGCACAGCAAGGCGACTGACATTTTCAGCAGATGGTCTGGAATGGCAGCCTCAATATTTATCTCAGGGCATGCTTAATTTAAGTACCAGCAACCATTTTTCTTAAAAAAAAAAAACAAAAAACAAATCATACTGGTTTATACATCTGCACCAATGTGCATTTCGGATGAAGGAACAGAAGGTGGGTCTTGTCATGCAATAAGATCCCCTAATCTGTCTGCAGACAAAAATGTTGGTGCAACTCTAGAAGTTTGATAAAAAAAATACTAGCTATAACAGGATTTCTTAAGACCCAAATTAAGTCATAGAAATAGATATGCAGTCAGATTGTAAGTTGTTAGTTTAACCACCTCCCGTCTGGCCGTTGTATATAAACGGCCGGATGGTGGCAGTACAGGGGCGGGTGGCCATTTATAAACGGCCTCCCCACCCCCTGCTTGTGCGTGCTCCCTGGAAGCACGGAGCACCGTGATCCGGTGCCCGCTGTGTACTCCGGACACAGTGGAATACCAATCGTTGTACGGGACCTCTGTGCGAGGTCCCGATCATGCGATCACTGATTGGCCAATCAGTGATCACATGCAGAGTAGTAAGCAAGATGTCACTTCTGACATCATTGCTTACTACGTGTGAAATATGTGAATGATCACAGAGGTCACATGGTACACGGCTATTCACAACAGCCTTGTACCATGTGACAAGCTGTGACCAATCACAGCTCACACAGTAGTTCTCAATGTCTGCAAGAATGCATCCAGAGAGAAGAAATGGTTGCTTTTACAGCCTTTATGGGTGTAAAAGCAATCAGTGTAAAAAAAAAAAAAAAAAAGATCTTCATCACCCCCCACAAGTAGTACAGTGTCACCATGGTGACACTGTACTGCTAGGGTGACAGTATGTAAAAAAAAAAAAACCATATATAATAATATAAAAAAATAAAAATGTAAAAATAAAAAGTTTAAAAATTATAATTTTTGGTTATAAACTAATTTGGGTTATTTTTTTTTTACTAAAAAGGATAGCGGAATACATTTTGGCCAAGATTTATGATGAAATATTTGCAAAATTTTATAAGAAAAACACTTTATGGACTTTTTCATTTACATAGCAAAAAAAAAAAAAAAAAATCCCAGTGGTGAATAAATTCCACCAAAATAAAGCTTTATCTATCTCAAACAAATTCTAAAAAATTCATATGGGTCCAGTGTTGCATGACTGCACAATTGTCATTCAAAGTGTGACAGCGCTGAAAGCTGAAAATGGGCCTGGACAGGACGGGGGTAAAAGTGTCTGGACTTGAAGTGGTTAAAGTCTAATAACCTCACTTTTCATGGTCTTACTTCCACTTTCCTGGAAGCAGCTGTGCAGGGTCTCTGCATATGATTGTACAATCCATTAGGTACCAGGGTTAGATCCAGTGCACTCAGTCATCAGCACTCAGTAATAGAACTGGTCTGACCCGCCTCTCTCCCTTTCTCTTAATACAAGTTTGTGTGAGGACATATGGCTGTTATTTGGATATGCTGGCACTGTCATGTGAGGGCTAAAAAGCAGCATTTTTTCACTAAAAGAAGGTATTCTAAGGTATGTCCAAGCAAAAAAAAAAAAAAAAAAAAAAAAATCAGGCACAAATTACAACATATGATGGATTAGAAAGATATAAAGCGTGAAACTTCAACAGAGCTTTATCATTCCTGTACTCCTTTTATTGAAGTCTTTACTAGGTTGTCTATGCTTTGCTGTAGACCTTGCAATAACTCTTTTCTTACCTTGATGCCGTCACTTTCTTTTAAGACCATGTATGGCTCACAGCTATCCCCGATGTCTCCCTGCTGTAGGACCTTCTCCAGCTGAAATAGAATACAGAACCCGTTCACGTACATCACAAGGAAATTGAACACGCACACACACAAATGTGCAACATATACACATCACACAGGAACATCTATGTAAGGCAAGTGGTATGACTTTGGAGGTATAAAACTGAGCTGACCATACATAGGAGGGCTTTCTTATCAAGAAATGTACACTGGGGAACCTCAGTGCACCAAAACCATATTTAATGTGGAAAGGAGAACTTTCTATTACTATGTGTAAAAGATCGACCAGCAGCAAGGCCTGGATTCTTTCTTAGATACACAGAATATAACTGGATATAACATCTATAGGTAAAGTTGATCCAGGGAATATCCGATTGCCTCTCGGGGGATAAGGAAGGAATTTTTTTCCCCAGCAGGAGCAAATTGGATCATGCTTTGCTGGGTTTTTTTGCCTTATTCTGGATGAGCTGTGGGTGTAGGATTATAACTTTTTTTTTTCTATGGTTGAAATGGATGGACTTTTGTCTTTTTTTCAGCCAGACTAACTATGTAATTATGTAAGGCATAGCAAACACAATCATCAGTTTAACCACGAACCCCATCAATCCGTGGGCAGCACAGTGGCTAAATGGTTAGCACTTCTGCCTGGCAGTACTAGGGTTGCTGGTTCCCAGCCAAAGCACCTCCTGCGTGGAGTTTGCATGTTCTCCCTGCGCCTGCTTGGTACTCCAGTTTCCTCCCACACTCCAAAGACATGCTGGTAAGTTAACAGGCTCCTGTCTAAATTGGCCCTAGTATGTGTATATATGAATGTGAGTTAGGGATGTTAGATTGAATGCCCCTTGAGGGTTAGGGACTGATGTGAATGTACAATATATATGTAAAGTGCTGCGTAAATTGACGGCACTGTATAAGTACCTGAAATAAAATAAATAATCCAAGCCCTATTCCTAGTCACAAATAACCATAAATTTGCATTAAAAAAGGTATGGATATTCTTACATGGTTACACTCGTCCAACTTGGACCTATATAACTTTGTATATACCATACTTAGCAATGCCCATGGAAGCTGGAAATCAGTGTAGTAGGCACTGCCACTACTGTGATCTCCGCTAGCTTCTGGTTCCTGTACCAAGTAGCTGTTCTTCTGCACCGTGAACACAGGAGGTTGCCTGCTCAGCATGGTTCCATTCAGAGATTAATTTTCTCAATAAATGCAAATCATTTTTGTGTTGGATGAGGTGAAGTGGAGGAGCAGAGATATCACAATATCCAACTCGTCCAATCAGTGAATGTTTTTCATTCATTCAGAAAATGCAATGTGTCCTCTGAATGGCACCCATACTGAGCAAGCGACCTCACATGTTCATTAAGTGTTGCCTACTACAGTGATTTCCAGCTTCTAGAAGGATCAGCCAGGTATGGTATATGCAGCTGGACCAATGTAAAAATATCCATACCTAGAATTTGTCTTTAACATTGGTGTATTGTTTCCAAACTATTTTTTACACCAGAAAACACGTTTATGCAAGTTGCTGTATAAAGTGGTCTTATCAAATTTCTGGTATTATTCTGTACCCTTATATTTAAAATATAACACAAATAAAACTTGACAAAAGAGGAATCTGAACTTATTTTCTATCCAAGTCCCTTTAGAGTGACTGGGGTAGTACCTGGGGTCCCCTCCACACATACACGGTTGCAAAGTAATACTGGTCTGTGCTTAAATTTCTAATCTAACAGATCAGACCAAGGAGCAGCAAAAAGCCTGGGCAACCAAGTATGACAAATTTTTCAAAATGTAGCTGGGCAACCCCTGAGGAAAGTGTTTTTGTAGGAAATAGTCAGACTTTCTCTGGCCAGCCACCGGACAACCCTTTTCTGGCCAGAAATATTAACTACTATTGGTGCTGTGAGGGATAAAGTGGTAATAAGATCTAGAACATAAATGTGGGAAAAATGTGGATTTGAGTACTGGCTTACAAATACTGGAAAAGTGCTTCTAAAGGTGAAAGGTTTTTTACCCTAATGTATTCAATGCATTGAGATAAAAAACCTTCTGGGTGCAGACCCCCCCCCCCAATACATACCTGAGCCCCATCTTGATCCAACGATGTGCATGAGAGCGCCAGCTCTCTTGAGTCTCTCTCTTAATTGGCTCACACAGCAGTGGGAGCCACTGGCTCCTGCCAATCTCAGCCAGCAAGCCAATGAGAAGAGAGCAGGGGGGCGGGGCCAAGCCAAGGTGTGTGCGCGAATGGACAATGTCCATTCACAGGAGCGCAGCTTGGGAGTGAGCCTGCTCCAGTGCCCCCATGACAAGAGGCTTGCTAGTGGAGGCACTTCGAGTGGGGGGCCAGGACCGCCGGGCGGGGGTCCAAAGAGCAAGTAAGTATGGCAGGTTTGTTATTTTTTTTTTTTTTTTAAATTACATGATATGGTCATGTACTATTCTTAAAGTTATTCTAAAAGTTGTAAGACTACTAACCCCCTTCTACTCAGTCTTTCTATAGCTCCTTTATGATAGCTGGTCACAATATAAATCAAGATTTCCACAAAGCCTACTGTACAGATTTATTTTGAAGTGGAACTACGCTACATCTAAACACCACAAACCCAAAAACCGAAAGTGGAACATTAGCCAGAAAAATTTACAGAGGCCGATCTGCTGACAGCCTTAAAGCAGAATTAAACCCTTCTATCCTTTATAGACAAGGAAGCTGCTTCTGTTTGTTCTGTAACTGCCAACTATCAAATAGCTGGTGTCATAACTGATCATATGTGCAGCACCATGGCAGTTGCAGATCAAACAGATGGCAGCTTCCTTGGCTGTAAAGGATGGGAGGGTTTAGTTCTGCTTTAACTGCTACTCAGGGCTTCAACAAAATGGCGGCCTCAAGCAAAAAGAAATAGGAATAATGCTGTAGGCAATTTACAGCACACAGTAATTTTGGGAGTATAATTATTAATTTGGAATGTGTGTTCCTTGCTAAAGAACATTATTTTTTATCAATTGTTATGAATAAAGTTCCGCTTGCATTCATTTTTAACATTCAGAGCAAGCTCCCCCATCCAACCATGTCTCCATGCTTTATTTTACTTAGAAATCACTCCCCTAGCATCTCTGGCTGTGACCATCTTGAGTAAGGGCAGATGATTCATGTAGCATTTACTTCCTGGAATCCATCTGTCCTTAGCTCAGGCATGCAGACAGGAGGGTGTGCTTAGCTGAGAAAAATCCTCCTGAAGACGGTATGGCATCATTTGCCTAGGCCTGGAAACCAGGAAGTAACCGAAGAAATGAAAACAAAAAAGTTGAAAACAAGTAAACCTGATATAATTTCCTATTTACTAATGCTAGCAGCATACTGATTAAAAATAGTAAGGGTTGATTGAGAGAGTGAAGTTCTGCTTTAAGTAGCCTCCAGAAATCGGATCAAAACTCTAGACGCAAACTGTATTTTTTAAGGGACATTGGAAACTGACTCCCAGTCCTGATGAACATGACTATGTATGGCCAGATCTGTACAGCTAGCAATGTTACACTATGGCTATTATACAGACAGCAGAACATGGCGCCAACACTCCCAATGGATGTGGATAAAGCACCTTGATGACGAGATATATGTCAGGAGATGGGTATGTGATGGAGAAGATGGCTGATCTTGCCAGGGTGGAGGGTGCTGGGTGTCCACCTTGTGCCCGCAGCATGTTTTTCACTGTGTCAGAATTCAGGTCGAAATGGAATGCTTCAGATATCTAGGAAGTAAGAATACAGATGTAGAATTCAGATAATGTTATATCAGAGAGGGAAGTTACTGCCCCTCAAAAAAAACCTGACCAAATACAAGTTTCAAGCATGCTGACAGCATCAAGTATTGTAGTCTGGGATTAATATCTGCAGAATGAACCCTGATATGTAAATACAAATTCAGACTGAAAGGGCAATTTTCAAACAGTTATGCAAACGGTCTCATAACTAGCATTGCCTAATGTTACACAATTGTATGTAATGTCGAAAAAATGTCAACAATACACTGCTGATCAGGATCTGATGAACTCATGCTATACTTACGTACAGCACGTGTGATGTGCAGCACAAAAACTGCATATTAGATATTAAATAGATGATAGACATACTGGACAAAACCGTATCTAAAGCCAAAACATTTTTTTTTTTAGTTTTGGTGAAGTAGCGAAGGGTTAGAACCTCTCTGACATTTTTATTTCCATCTGTGTTCATGATAGGGAAATTCACCATCCCGATATGTAATCAGAACATTGTCCCAAGACAGAAAGCGATGGGCGATTGAAACATTTTTCCTTAGTAAGGAAGGTCAAGGCCTTAAAGTAGTTGTAAAGTCTCAAGGTTTTTTACATTCATGCATTTAATGCATGAAGGTAAAAAGCATTCTGTGTGTAGCAGCCCCCTCAGCCCCTCCTAAAACTTACCTGAGCACCCCCTTGATCCAGCGATGTCCACAAAAGCCTCTGTACTCTGGGGACTCTCACCGCTGATTGGCTGTCAATCACAGCCAGTGAGCCAATCATGAGAGGGAGGGGGCAGGGCCGAGCCATGGCTGTGCATGAGAATAGACACACAGAGCTGCAGCTCTGAAGCGTGCATGCTTGGGTGCCCCCCATAGCAAGCTGTTTGCTATGGGGGCACCCGACAGAATGGAGGAGCCAGGAGCGCTGGCGGGAGACCTGTGAAGAAGAGGTTCCGGGCTGCTCTGTGCAGAACCATTGCACAGAGCAGGTAAGTATGACATGTTTGTTATTTTTAAGAAAAGTAAAAACAAAACTTTAGTATCACTTTAAACCACCTTCTCCCTATGTAGGACTAAGAAGGGTTCCCTGCAGGATAACGTTGTCAGTTCAGACATTCATCTAGCAGAGAAGATAGCAAAAAGTAAAATGAACTTGTGCTCCAGAACAGAGATAGGAATGTCTCAGATTCAAAGGCTTTTGAAAACACACACAAAAAAAAAAAAAAACAGCTTCATAACCCATGGAGGTAGAGAGAAAATGACTAGTGGAACCACATGGGAGACCACTTGCACAAAGGTATTGATCTTTGTAAGGAAATAGAAGCAATAAAAATCTCCTGCACTCTCAAGACCGGATCTGGCATGTGTGGAAAGATTTATTCAATTCAGTTCAGTCTGGCAAAGCTGTGTAGCCCCCTGAGGGCTTGGGAAGCCCAAAAAGCCACTGGAAGATAAGAAAAAAAGAAGAGGGCACACAAGCCTTGTGCATTATCCCCCCCAACAAATCTTTTATCTGGAAATAACAGATGTGTACTCACAAACGCCATGAAAAAACAAGCATGTCATGACCCTCAATGGTCCATAGTCCGGAGTGCTGTGAGAGTTCCATACACAGAGATGGACACTCAGAGCATGGCTGAAGCGTTTCGAGGGAAGAGTCCCTCTTCCTCATAGCTTTCCTTCGAAATGCATTAGCCATGCTCTGAATGTCCATCTGTGTATGGGACTAACACAGCACTCTGGACCATTGAGGGTCATGAAATGCTTGTGTTTACTTGGCGTTTGTGAGTACACAACTGTTAATTCCAAATAAAAGATTTGTGTGTGAGGTAATGTACAAGGCTTGTGCGGCCTTTTCTTATTCTTATCTTTATAATATGAGAAATAGAGAAAAAAAAAAAAAAGCGCCACAAACTAAACAGAACAAAAGCTGCACTCCTAACCAAAAAAAGGTAAAAATGTGAATAAATCAAAGAGTGCGCTAAATATAAGTGAATACAAAAATTATTAGTTTAAAATATTGTCCGTGATAGAAAAATTTTTATATAAAAGTCCATCCACCATAACAAAGCAATTAAACAGTTCTGAAATCTTGTATAAATCAAACACCGTGCAAAAAAAATCCACCACCGAATTAAATGGGTACACTCACCAGAGCTCCATGCTGACCAGATTATAAATCAGCAAAGATAGCGTTTGCTCTGGGAGCGATGATCAGCAGAAATAATCCAAACTGGGAGCAATATACTGCAAGCAGCCAATCAGCACAATATGGAATAGCCTTTAACAGCAGGTAGTCTTCATGTCTCCATACCATAGATCATGTTCGGGGAATCAAAAAAGGAAATCATGGTGCAGTACGTTTAAAACCAAAATGTTTTACTAAAACGTCAGAAATGCACTCACATACAGGGTGTCTAGCCGACACCAGCAATGACAGCCTCAAGAAAGCAGGGACGAGACTCGCTCACCGCGATATCACAACCGACAGTCTACGAGGAGCGTCCAGACATCACATCCAAAAGAAGCCCCACCCTATTAGTTTCGTCATCCGACGTCCTCACGGGGCGGATTCCGGTGGTGGATTTTTTTTGCACGATGTTTGATTTATACAAGATTTCAGAACTGTTTAATTACTTCGTTATGGTGGATGGACTTTTATATATAAAATTTTTTCTATCACGGACATCATTATTTTAAACTAATAATTTTTGTATTTACTTATATTTAGCGCACTCTTTGATTTATTCTTATCTTTGTAAGGAAAGCCAGAATTCTCCGGAAAAGAAAGGCAGGAGAAGAGATCTGGCCCTTGATTGTACTAAGGGCCAAGTGGTGGTGGGGTTCCATCCACAAGAAAGAAAGGATCATTCCAGTAGCCTAACGAGGTATAACATATGGAGGCGCTGCACACCGTCAGTTCAATGTGTATCATATAGTGAAGAGCTGTCTCAGTTCCTCCTGAGGCTGCACTTCAGTATTTGATACATGCTGAGCGGACGGTAAGTGGTGCCTCCATATAGTTTACCTCGTTAGGCTGCTGGGATGAGCATTTAAGACACCAGCACCTCTTGGGTTGTGGATCGTTTGAGCAGCATCACTTAGCACTCCATAAAAGTTCTTACAGATCGTAGAAATAAAGGATCATGGCTAAATTTTTGGGGAAAAATCCTCTGGACTCGCACCAAAGTGCACCTTCCGTGTTGAATTGTAGATCTTGCAGCAAGTGGACATCCTAGCTTTTAGCATCGTAGGGATAAAACTCCCATAGATGACACCGCCCTTTAGAACCTAGGCTTCCACAACCATATGTTAAAGCCATTAACCTAGAAGAAGGGTGGCAAACTGGTCCTTGGGACAGCAGATCCAGGCAGTGTTGGCAGTGTGCATCAGCAAGTTGTCTTATGAGGTCGGAGTACCATGCTCTCTTGGGCCAATCCGGGGCTATGAGAATTACCAGATTTCCCTCTATGATCTTGAGAAGCAATTGAGGAAGAAGCATCAGTTGAGGAAAGGATCAGAGTGTATTAATGCCACAAGGCATTAGTACATCCACTTCTTCTGTTGGCATACCCCTGGATCTGAATACAAGCTTGTCCAGATGGTTTTTGAATCTGGTGGCCAGAAGGTTCATATCCGGCGAACCCACTTGTGAAACAGGTCCTGGTCCACCGAGACCACCTTCACGGGTCCAGATGCTCCTGGGTAAGATAATTTGAGTGGCAATTGTCCATGCCAGGAACACTACAAAGAGAGCTGGAAAATGAGATCCTCCCCAAGAGAAGATCTGATTCTGCTATTAGTTTGCAGCAAGATTTCCTGTTCCTCATTGATAATTGATGAGTGGATGATCCAGAGCTCATGACCTGACAACAGGCCTGTCTAATGCCGAGCTCCAGTATGTTTTTCAGGAGGAGAAAATGCATTCATAACTAAGTCTAAACTCATTATACTGCCCCTCAACCCAACCGGCTGGCATCATATTGAATGGGAGGACCAATTACACAGCTGGAACAGACCATTTAGTGACAAATTTCTCACTGGGATGGTATAGTGCTAAAAAGTGCTTGGGAGGCATAAAAATACTCTCGGTGTTTCTGAATGTCATATAGAAAGAAATCAAAACTGGTGGGAAGGGAAGATTTTGTAGGCTTTAGGGGCCCTGTAGGACCTAAGACTAGCTACGGGACTAGTAGAAGCAAAAGGCTAATCTTCCGGTTTTAGGGTATGGAGCACCAATAAGGGCCAAAACTGTCCCTTTTAATTAGATATAATAGCACTCCTTTATCAGTCAGTGACCTAAAAAAAGAATTCCAGGAATGGATATTTTTGCATAGTTACATTGGTCCAGTTTGGAACAATGCAACTATGCCAATACCAGATCTGGGAGATCCCTATAGAAGCTGGAAATCATTGTATTAGACATCGCTACTACAATGATCTTCATTAACTACTGGGTCCTGCAAAGGTGCCATTAGGAGAACACTTTGTATTTCCTCAATGACTGCATAGCGTTCTGTGATTGGATGAGGAGGCGAGGTGGGTCAGGGACATCATGCTCTCCACCTTGTCCAATCACTACCACAGTGATTTTTAGCTCTCCGGGGGATCCCGCAGTTATGGTATATATGCAGTTGTATTGGTTCAAACAGAACCATTATAGCTATGTAAAAAATATCCATACCTGAAATTCTTCTTTAAGCAGCTTGGTATCAGAGTTTCCAAGCAGCCAAGTCATTTGCACAGCACAAGACCCCTAAGTAAGTGGAGATCACTGGAGTAGCTGTGTCTGCTTCAGTGATTTTCAGCTTCCAGGGGCCAGGTATAATATATATATTTACATTGGTCAAAGCTGGACCAATGCAATTGTGTAAAAATATACCACGCCTGGAATTCTTCTTTATAGCTGCACTGCAGGAAAACACCTAAACACGCTGCGGAAATACTCCATGTGAATACTGCACATCAACCCACACCCTTTAACGCTAATCTCCAAGAACAGAAAACAAACAAATTAATGCAGCTCTATGGTAATCAAATCATAATGTAGGACCAATGTAACTATGCAATATCTATACCTGTAATTTTGTATTAGACAGAGCTTCCAAGCGGCAAAGGCCACAGGCACTGAATCTAGCTCTGATGAAGAAGGGATCCCCCTTCAAAACGTGTCAGCGTCATTCTGAGAATCCCCCCTTCTGATGGGATACGCATGTGTCTCATCGTGTGGTTCAACTTTGGACTTTACATGCTTGTTTTACTACTAAGTTTGTGAGTATATCTCCTAAATCAATAAATCCATTAACTGTTTAGTGAGGTAATGCGCAAGGCTGGTGTGCTCTGTCTTTTGTTCTTCACTACAGTCTGAATCTATAGGGGAAGGTGTGGTAGATTGGTTGAGGCCTCTGTAGTTAGGGTCAGAGACAAACAGGGCAATCTGCGACATAAAGGCACACACAGCTGTAGCAAAAACCTCCCCTAAGAGGGGGAAGATGCCCAGCTACACCTGACACAAGTTTCATGTGACCTCCATCACAGATGAAAAGAGATCACAGATTGCACAACACTACACTCAGCGTTATGGTGTCAGCCCCCAGTTCAACAGCATTAACTCCTTTCACGGCAAGTCCGTTGGAAAAAAGGATCCAACATAGGTACCAAGTGAATAATAAAAATGAAGGAGCGCCCCTGATGCTTGGCCCAAATGTATCACTCACAAACAAAAGTAAGACTTCAGACAGAGCAAGCGCAAAGGCAATGATAACAGCTCTGGGCCTGGAAGCACTCTGCAGCTAACTGAGCCAGAGCCAATTTGAAAATGCTCAAGCGATGCCAAATGTCAGAGGGTCGCTTACAGGTCCTACCCACAATGCCTGACCCAGCAGAGTCCGGTCATAGCAAGACCAAATTCTGAGGCTAAGGTCAACTGTATCACATAGCAACGAGAAACCAAAGAGACCCATTGTAGCTATGTACATAGAGGCAAATCTTAATGGAAGAGAAAACAACTTATTGGGAAAAAAAAAATAGGGTAAGCCTTAAATCAGCAGAGCTGAGAAAAGAAGTCAATCCTAGGACACTAACAATTGATGGGTGCTACTATTAGAAGAGATAGATAGATAGATAGATAGATAGATAGATAGATAGATAGATAGATAGATAGATAGATAGATAGATAGAGATATGTGCAGATATGCTTTCCCAACATGCAGGAGATATTTCTGAGCGCTAATAAAACATAAATGTACACAGGGCAGCAACTCTCAAAACTCAATTTGAATTATTGTTTCAGCACATGACTACATTCTACAATCTGGGGTTGATTTACTAAAGGCCAATTGACTGTGCAATTAACAAATGCAGTTGCACTTTGCAAGGGCAATTGTTCCAAAGCTTAGTAAATAAGGGGAAGCTCTGCTTGCCTAGATCATCCAATCATGTGCAAGCAAAAAACATTTTTCTTCTATTTTCTTTGCATGTGATTGGGCACAATTTGCAAAGTGAACTTCGCCTAATTTACAAAGCTATGGAGCAAATACCCTTGTAGAGTGCAACGGTATTTGCAAAGTGCACAGTCTATTAGCCTTTAGCAAATCAGCCCCTCCGTAAATCATCCTCTGTATTGTATGCTGCTATAACTTACTTTTTTCTTTTCTTTGGCATCATAAAGGGCCATCACACAAAATATTGGCTCAATTTCTATTTCAAACCTGAAAAAAGGGACAAAGAATTAAATTCTAACAGTGACGATCCAGTTAATATTTTAAAGAAGAAATCTAGGCATGATATATTTTTATAGAATTACATTGGTCTAGTTGGGTCCAGAATACCTAGACACTGCTACTTCAGTGATCTTGCTCCAGGGTCCCGTGCTGATTGGCTGGCCTGCTGCACAGGAGGTAGCTGCTCAGCATGGGCACCATTCATAAATGCAAAGTATGAGGTGGAGAGGTGGGGCATTGACATCACACTCTCCACCTTGTTCAATCAGAGAATGCTTTGCATTCATTCAGAAAATGCAAAGAATTCTCTGAATGGCGCCTGTGCCAAGCGGCTCATCTCCTATTCACAATGCATCAAGTTGTCCGCTCAGCACGAGATCAAGAAGCAAGTGAAGATTACTGGGGTAGTGATGTCTACTTCCGGGCTTTCCAGAAGCATTGGCCAGGTATAGTATATACACAGTTACATTGGTCCAACCTGGACCAATGTAATTACCGTATATACTATGCCTGGAATTCTTCTTTATAACTGCACTGCAGGAAAACATCTAAGCACACTGTGCAAATACATATACAGTAGGTCAATACGACCCATAAACACACACCTTTAAACACTAATCTCCAGGTGTATATAACAGAGACAAATTGATGCAGCTTTATATTAACCCCTTCCCGCCGGCGCCTCCCGGCCCTTTAGGAGTTTCAGATGCTGGGAGGAGGGGTGGGTGGGGCGTGGTTTAGGGATCATGTACAGGAAAGGTCCCGATCGAAAGAGCAGACCGGGACCTTTCCGTGAGTACCGGACATGTGTGCTGGGAGCACGCAGGGTGCGAACTCTCAGCACACATGTTTTTTTCTTACCTGAACGCAAATGTGCGGCCGCTCAGCGTCTAGGCCCAGACGCCAGGAGGCCACACATTTGTGTGCGGCCGGCGCAAAGGGGTTAAACTAGTTCTAAAGGCTGAAGATCCCCCCTCAGCCCCCTAAATGCTTACGTGAGCCCTATCTTGATCCATTGATGTGCAGAGAAGCAGTAGCTCTCCTGAGTCTCTCCCTCCTCATTGGCTCAGACACAGCAGCAGAAGACATTGGATCCCACTGCTGTCAGTCACAGCCAGTGAGGAGAGAGCAGGGGACCCCCTTATAGACACAAAGAGGCAGACTGGAAGCGAGTACGCACAAGTGCCAAAAGGGGGGAAGAGCCAGAAGTGACGACGGGGGACACAAGAAAAGGAGGATCAAGGCAGCTCTGTGCAAAACCACTGCACACAGCAGGTAAGTATAATGTGTTTGTTATTTTTAAAACAAAAAATCTGAACCTTTAGTATCACTTTTTTTTATAACTCTTTTAATTGACAAAGGTACAAAACAGGGATACATAAAACATGACCCTCCGCATAAGCTGAGAGAAATACAAACTGTGGTACACAAACATGAAGGCAAATACAGTGGAGAAAATAATGATTTGATCCGCTGCAGATTTTTCTATGTTTGCCCATTTACAAAGAAATGAAGGTTCTATAATTTTTATCATAGGTGTATTTTAAATGATAGAGACAGAATATCAACCAAAAATTCCAGAAAAAAAAAAACAATACAAATGTTATAAATTGAGTTGCAGTTCAGTGGGTAAAATAAGTATTTGATCCCCCAGCAAAACATGACTTACTACTTGGTGGAGAAACCCTTGTTGGCAAGCACAGGGGTAAGACATTTCTTGTAGTTAGTTACAAGGTTTGCACACATTTCAGGAACGAATTTGGTCCGCTCTTCTTTACAGAACTTCTCTAAATCCTTAAGGTTTCTTGGCTGTAGCTTAGCAACTCGAAGTTTTAGCTCCTTCCATAAACTTTGTATAGGATTAAGGTCTGGAGACTGCCTACGCCACTCCATGACCTTAACGTGCTTTTTCTTGAGCCACTCCTTTGTTGCTTTGGCAGTATGTTTGGGTCATTGTCATGATGGAAGACCCGTCCATGACCCATCTTCAATGTTCTGGCTGAGGGAAGAAGGTTCTTATCCAAGATTTTACAATACACTGCCCCGTCCATTGGCCCCTCAATGCGGTAAAGTTGGCCTGTACCATTAGCAGAGAAACAGCCCCAAAGCATAATGTTTCCACCTCCATGTTTGACTGTAGGGATGGTGTTCTTAGGGTCATAGTCAACAATTTTTGTCCTCCAAACACACTGAATCGAGTTAATGCCAAAGAGCTCAATTTTGGTCTCACCTGACCACAGCACTTTCTCCCGATCCTTCTCTGAATAATTTAGATGTTCATTGCGAAACTTCAGTTGAGCCTGTACATGTGCCTTCTTGAGGAGGAGGACCTTGCAGGTGCTGCAGGATTTCAATCCATGGAAACGTATTTCTCATTATAATCCTTAACCCATGAGGCAAAATCTTGCATGGAGCTCCAGACTAAGGGCAATTGATGGTTATTTTCTATTTCTTCCATTTGCGAATAATCACTCCAACAGTTGTCTCCTTCTCACCAAGCTTCTTGATGAGGGTCTTGTAGCCCATTCCACCCTTGTGCAGGTCTACAATATTGTCACTGATGTCCTTTGATGGCTGTTTGGTCTTGCCCATGATGGTGAGGAAGAATGATTCTGTGGACAGGTGTCTTCTATACACATAACAAGTTGTCATTAGGAACACCTTAAATTGACAGGACTAATCTGTATACAACATGAGCACATAGCCAGTCTGTGGGAGCCAGAATTATTGTTTGTTGGTAGGGGATAAAATACTTTAATCACTGAATTGCAACTCAATTTATAACATTTGTATCATGTGTTTTTTCTGTATTTTTGGTTTATATTCTGTCTCTATCATTTAAAATACACCTATGATAAAAATTATAGACCCTTAATTTCTTTGTAAGTGGGCAAACTTACAAAATCCGCAGGGGATTAAATAATTATTTTCCCACTGTATATAACCTCACATAAGTATAAAAAAATATGACACTACTGTCAAGGTTGATATCCAACCTTTTTCCCTGAGCTCAAAGTAAAACTTATATTCAGACATATTGCAAGCCTTGCTAGGCTGCAATTCCCAAATACAAAATACAAAAAACTGTGAAGGAAATGGGTTTTCTCAAGTGTTAGTTATCATGAGGGTAGAGAAGCATCAGACAGCCCACACTTTGTTGTGTTTCCTAGGGCAACCCCTATGTTCAAGGATAAGCTTTTCATATGGTAATTTTTGATTGCCCAAATGCATCCATTTACAGATGGGGGAGTGGGTTGAATCCATTTGAGTGCTAACGCTTTACAAGCTAAAAAGAGTGTTTCCCTTAACACATTCCTAGTGTATCTCGGCCATAGTTCCTCATCTAAGATACCCAGCAGACATACTTCTGGGGTGTATGGCACCAGAACAGATAGTACAGTGGATAAAATATCAACCATCTGCTGCCAATATCTGGCAATGACAGGGCAGAGCCAGATAACATATGCAAAGTCAGCTCTTGGGCAGTCACTCTAGCGCATTTTGGAGCAGGTAATCTGCGCATGGCATGAAGCCCGACGATGGTTAGAGAAGACGAATGTAGCATATATAGTTGTATAAGTTTGTTATGAAGCCGGAGGTTTGGTATTAAGCTGAACGTTCCTGGGACATTTCACACAGGTCCCAGAGGACTGTGGCCCATTCACAAACTACAGCGTGATTCGCGCATGCGCAATAAGAAACTGGCTGCGAAGTCTCAAGGCTTCACTGCTGGTTTCCCTTAGTCAAGATGACAGCCAATTGAGGAATCAGCTTGGGGTGAGGCCACCACTGGAACCCTGGACAGGTAAGTGCCCTAATATAAAATTCAGCATCTACAGTATTTGTAGCTGTTGACTTTACATTTTTGGGATGGGGGGGGGGGCAAAACTTGGGAAGGGGGGGGCAGAACTCCTCTTTAAGGAATACATCATTGTGCATACCCTGTACAGAACAGTTCAGACTAGGAGATGGAGAAGCAGCACAAGAAGCCAGTTAATTGTGCTGTGGTGTTCATGTACTAACAATGGACATGTTAGCAGCAACAAGCAGACGGACAAAGATGATTTCATCAGACTGCTGTTTTTTTCTATCACAGAGTCTGGTAGGGGCAAGACCTCTAAGTCTTAAACTAACTGCAGAAAGAAAAAATTAGGTCTTCAACCTTGTCAAATAGGACTGTGCTGTATAAATCACAGAACCAAATGGACAAAAATAATAATCCTTTGGAAGTTAATTCAGCTCCCATATATATTTTTTCTGTATATTTATCCATTTTTCTGGAGTTTAGATTTAATGTGTTTATACTTACCTGCTCTGTACAATGAAATTGCATAGAGCGGCCCTGAACCTCTCCTCAGGTCCCTGCCGGTGCTCCTAGCTCCTCCCTTCCACTGAGTGCCCCCCATAAAAAGGCACTCTTGACACAGACAGCGGAACTCAGCCCTGCTCCACTGTCACTGGTTTTGAGTGACAGGGACGGGAGCCAAAGGTTCCTGCTGCCACATCAAAGCTAGTAAGACCAGGGGAGAGAAGAGCTGCAAATGGGCACAGCGCTGGATTATATAAGGGCTAATGCAAGTCGGGGGGGGGGTATACGGATGCCTAAAGGAATGGATGAAAGGTAAAAACTGTTTAGGCTTTATAACCACTTTAACTTACTGCTCCACTTGTGAAGTCAATTACTACTCCATCATGGTCAAGAAGGCAATAAAATAAATCCGTTTTGGCACAGATTACATTTCTTGAGGATTATGAGACACAGTGGAAGAAGCATGCTCAAAAAAAAAAAAATCCTCCAGCAATATACAACCATGCACTACAAATTTCTGAGTGCCTCTGAATGGTAAATGCAGCCTAGAGTACTAGCACCTTATTTACATTAAGAAGACCTTTTTGGGAAAGGAGTTTAACAACTGCAGTTGTTCAAAGTGAGCTGTGATGGGATTAGGAGATATTGATGCATTTTTCAGATGTTTAAGAGCAGGTTGTATTATACTTGAGAATTTAGTTCCTGTAAAACACCAAGGCAGATCAAATATCTCTTTGTCCACATCTCAGCATATGAAACAAATTAAAAGAAAATCGATTAAAGAAAAATCATTCCATCAGGGTCAACCAAGGGAAAGACGGAAACAACAACCAAAATAATGCTTACTTGAGTGATATGCATTTGACCAGGATCCTCTGACCAAAGTGCTCCTTGGGTACCTCAGGAATGGTGGATCTCTCCACAGCTTCATCCTATGGCAAAAGAGAACTTGTGAATATAGAGAAGGAGCCGGGTTACTGCAATAACATGTTACCGGGATAATAAGATATTACAGGGTAATAAGACACTCGGGAGCCGGGTTACTGTAATAAGATATTACAGGGGGAATAAGACACTCGGGAGCCGGGTTACTGTAATAAGATATTACAGGGTAATAAGACACTCGGGAGCCGGGTTACTGTAATAAGATATTACAGGGGGAATAAGACACTCGGGAGCCGGGTTACTGTAATAAGATATTACAGGGGTAATAAGACACTCGGGAGCCGGGTTACTGTAATAAGATATTACAGGGGGAATAAGACACTCGGGAGCCGGGTTACTGTAATAAGATATTACAGGGGAATAAGACACTCGGGAGCCGGGTTACCGTAATAAGATATTACAGGGGTAATAAGACACTCGGGAGCCGGGTTACTGTAATAAGATATTACAGGGTAATAAGACACTCGGGAGCCGGGTTACTGTAATAAGATATTACAGGGTAATAAGACACTCGGGAGCGGGGTTACTGTAATAAGATATTACAGGGGAATAAGACACTCGGGAGCCGGGTTACTGTAATAAGATATTACAGGGGGAATAAGACACTCGGGAGCCGGGTTACCGTAATAAGATATTACAGGGGGAATAAGACACTCGGGAGCCGGGTTACCGTAATAAGATATTACAGGGGGAATAAGACACTCGGGAGCCGGGTTACTGTAAATAAGATATTACAGGGTAATAAGACACTCAGGAAATGGGTACCATGAAGTTATTTAAATTACTGTTAGTGTCACCTCATCGGGAGCCGGATAGAGAGTGAGGATATGATGGTGTCGGCTCCCTCTACGCTGCTCCTCATTCATTCTGTCCACCTCTTCTGGTGGTGTCCTCTCCAGGAGACCTGGCAGCAATGGATCTGGAGCAGAGTTCTTCAGGTCAAATATACTAGAAGCCCAACTGCCCCGGGGGGTCTCATCCATTGAGGCAGATACTCTTTTTTTTTCCTCCTATTGATGTGCAAAAAAGAAAAAAAAAATTTATTTGAGTGATTTTCTACCACATTTATACCTTCATTGAATATAGTAATGAACCTACTGCACTCATATGCTGCTGTTCGGTGACTGGCCCAGCGCTGTCACATAGGCAAAAGGAGACAGACAGAACCCCCCCCCCCTCCCCTGTGTAAGCTCCAAGTTGGGATTTCTTTCTTCATTTCTGGCAGAGGACAGTGATGGGGGAACAATGGGAAAGTAAATATAATATATATAATATAATATTTTGTTTTGTACTAGCAAAGCACAGGTTCATCTGTTTGAGGAGTCAAGAGAGATGCCACCTTGTCAGCTCACCCTGAGCCAAGAAACCAAACAGAACTGATGTACAATAATATTTTTAGACATTTTATTATACCCACCAGATTCTATTATTATAAGGCCAAGCAGAACTCCAACCATTATTTTTTTTGTATGGGAAAGATTAAATATTTTTTTCGTGTTTACTGCAGACTGTGGACCTGCTATGGAAATTTAGGATTTTTTCCCTCCAATTCCTGTACCGATGACATTCAGGGGCCTGCTGTGAGCTAAATCTACTGCATCTCCTCTCTGGAGTGGATTCTGCATCTACTGCTATGGAGAATTCACTAAAGACTGGTGTTCCTCCCTCTCTAATAGATTCTTCATAGGAACATAAGCAAAGTACAATTCAGGAAACTCACAGCAATGCCTTAGGGGTCACTGGGATAGAAATTGGGGAAAAAGCTTCCAAGCAGGGATACAGGGCACAATAAGGTCTGGTTCACACTTATGCGGGTGTGAACCAGAAACACAACAGTCCATTTAACATGGTTTCCTATGGGGGACACGGTCACATCTATGCTTTTTTCAGCTGTGTTCAGGAAAGGGTCAGGAACTTTATTTAAATGCAGAACTGTGCAAATCCAGGAAAAACATCTCACATATATGTATTACAACTGTGTATTTAACCATTTTCCAGGAGGTCAGTTTTAAGCCTTGACATTAAATTACCTGCTCTTCAGGAGCCCCCCTCTCCTCTGTGGCTTCATCCAGCTCATACAACTGGCGGTTCAGAGCTTTCTGCCGTTGTCGCTGGCGTTCTGCAGTGATGGGAGTGTACGCCGTGCTCAGACGCTGAGACCTATTTACAGAAAACCATAGTGACAATAAGAGACAACTGCACTTCAAGTGTAAGCTGTACAAAAATAGCCACAAGGCTCTCAATGGATTCTATGCCATCTCCACTATCATCCGTTTTGGTTTCTCCTTCAATTACCTATTTCAAAGTAAACCATTGAAAATACCTCCCAATATGTCAATATGTAGTGACTCCACCCTAAATCTGCTCTTTGTTAGAGTCGTGGCAGTGGAATTGGGTTGAAGCAGTTGCAAGTGCAATCTGACTTACAGGGGAATTTCTACCTAAGCTACAGACATACATACATACATACATACATACATACATACATACATACATACATACAGTTGTGACCAAAATTATTCAACCCCCACTGAAATTGAGTGTTTTGGCCAGTTTGACATTGCTTTTGATCATTCAGTCATCTTGCTTACATTTACATTAAAGAGGCACTTGTAGGTCAGACAAATATAACATAACAGTTATAATGAAATAACCACAAATGTCTTTTCTGTGCTCACAGCATTATCAGTTTTATTCAACCCCCAAGTGACATTCAATCTTAGTACTTAGTACAGCATCCTTTTACAGTTATAACAGCTTTTAAACGTGAAGCATAGCTTGACACAAGTGTCTTGCAGCGATCTACGGGTATCTTCGCCCATTCTTCATGGGCAAAGGCCTCCAGTTCAGTCACATTCTTAGGCTTGCGCACTGCAACTGCTTTCTTTAAGTCCCACCAGAGGTTCTCAATCGGATTTAAGTCTGGTGACTGCGATGGCCACTCCAAAATGTTCCAGCCTTTCCTCTGCAACCATGCTCTAGTGGACTTGGAGGTATGCTTGGGATCATTGTCCTGTTGAAAGGTCCAACGTCTCCCAAGCCTCAGGTGTGTGACGGACTGCATCACGTTTCCATCCAATATCTCCTGGTACTGAAGAGAATTCATGGTACCTTGCACACGCTGAAGCTTCCCTGTACCTGCAGAAGCAAAACAGCCCCAAAGCATGATTGACCCTCCACCATGCTTCACAGTAGGCAAGGTGTTCTTTTCATCATAGGCCTTGTTCTTCCTCCTCCAAACATAGCGTTGATCCATGGGCCCAAACAGTTCTAATTTTGTTTCATCAGTCCACAGAACACTATCCCACAACTTTTGTGGTTTGTCCACATGGCTTTTGGCATACTGCAGTCGACTCTTCTTATTCTTTGGAGACAGCAAGGGGGTACGCCTGGGAGTTCTGGCACGGAGGCCTTCATTACGCAGTGTGCGTCTTATTGTCTGGGCTGAAACTTCTGTACCCACATCTGACAAATCTTTTCTCAGTTCCTCAGCAGTCACACGGGGACTTCTCTCCACTCTACGCTTCAGGTAGCGCACAGCAGTCGAAGTCAGCATCTTCTTTCTGCCACGACCAGGTAGCGTTTCAACAGTGCCCTTTGCCTTGAATTTGCGAATGATGCTTCCTAAGGTGTCTCTTGGTATGTTTAACATCTTTGCAATCTTCTTATAGCCATTGCCCTTCCTGTGAAGAGAAATCACCTCTTCTCTTGTCTTCCTGGACCATTCTCTTGCCTTCACCATGTTTGTAACCACACCAGTAAATGTCTAGAAGGAGCTGAGTATCACAGTCATTTTAAAGCTGCCTAATTGGTGCTTATTATGCTTGATTGCTGCTCGGTGACATCCACAGGTGTTTTCAATACCTGATGGAAAGCACCTGTATGAACCTCTGTTCTTCAGAGTGGTAGTCTTTAAGGGGTTGAATAATTGTGGCAATGAAGAAACCACATAAGAACCATTTACTACTGTATTACATAAACAATTGATGTCATTTTAGTTGCATTTGGGTAGTTACAACGTCCTTGTAGGATTTGATTCTGAATACAATTCCAAATGTACACTATAGTCCCTAAACCCCTTTACAGCATTGGGGGTTGAATAATTTTGGTCACAACTGTACATACATACATACATACATATATATATATATATATATATATATATATATATATCATCACACACACACATATATATATATACACATATATATACACATACATACACACACATATATATATATTTATATGGAGTTTTTTATATGGATTATGCAGGATTAGATTTAGGTGTATGATTAAACAAATATACCAAGCAGGTGTTGATGATCATCAATTTCATATGTAGGATGAAACACAGTCATTAACTAAAACAGAGACAGCTGTGTAGGAGGCCTAAAATTTGGTCAGGAACAGCCAAACTCTGCTGCTAAGGTGAGGCTGTGCACCCCAGTTTCATACATCATGGCATGACCGAGCACAGCAACAAGACACAAGGTAGTTATACTGCATCTCTCCCGGCAAATATTTCAAAGTAGACTGGGGTTTCAGGATGTGCTGTTAAAGCCCTTTTGAAGAAGTGCAAAGCAAAGGAAAATGTTGGGGATCATGGGTGCAGTGCTTGGGCAAGGAAACCTAATGCAGCAGATGAATGACACATGCTTACTTCCCTTCAACACTGCAAGATGTCCAGCAGTGCAGGCAGCACAGAACTAATGAAAACCAGTAGGACCCAGGTACACCCATCTACTGTCCACAGAAGCCTGGCCAGAACAGGTCACAAAAATGGAACTGGATTGATGAGTCAAAATGTGAAACATTTGGCTGTAGCAAGAGGCAGTTTGTTCACAAAGGGCTGGAGAGTGGTACAATAATGTGTCTGCAGGCAACTGTGAAGCATGGTGAAGGTTCCTTGCAAGCTTTGGCCCAAAATTTATTCTGCAGCAGGGCAACGACCCAAAACATACAGCCAATGTCATCAGAATAGAAGTAGGACTTTTTTTTCCCTATTTATACTTATCTAGGTGGATGCAGGATCAGTCCAATGCTGCATCTGTTCCTTGCCGGCTCTAAGTATGAGAACGCAACGATCACATGATCGCTGAACGCTGAGTTCTCACAGCCGCAATGAGCAGAGAGCAGGACTGTCAGTCACCGCTGTCTGCTCAGCCCCCAAGCACCCCCCTCCCTCCCCAAGCGCTCTCTGGAACACTGGGTTGTGGAGGGGAGGGAGCGGCTGGCTCAGGCTCTAAGAACTTCGCTGAGAGCCTGGGCCAGCTGCTGCTCCAGACTGTGGGGTGGATCCCGACTTTGCAGTTGGGATCTTTTCCCAGCCTGGACCGGCTGAGTGATGTCAGCTGAAAATGGGTCACAGGAGTGCAGAACGAACTGCACTCCTGTGATCCACAGAAGTACAGCCAAAAAAGCTTTTGCTATACATCTCCTTTAAAAACTATCTTCAGTGTAAGGAAGACCAAGGAGTCCTGGAAGTGACGGTTTAGCTCCCACAGAGCCCTGATCTCATCATCATGGTGTCTGTCTGAGATTACATGAAGAGACAGAAGGATTTGAGGCAGCCTACATCCACAGATCTGTGGGTTGCTTCTCCGAGATGTTTGGAACAACCTACCTGTCGAGTTCCTTCAAAAACTGAGAAACTGTGTGCAAGTGTACCTAGAAGAATTGATGCTGCTTTACAGGCAAAGGGTGGTCACACCAAATATGAAATTGGTGTGGATTTCTCTTCTGTTCATTTACTTCCCATTTTGTTAAATAAAAATTAACTATTAACACTATTTCTGAAAGCATTCTTCATTTACGGCATTGTTTCACACATGCCTAAACTGTTTGCAGTGTGTGTATCTATCTATCTATATATATATATATATATATATATATATATATATATATATATATACACACACACACACACACA